ATATATTGTACTAAAAAACTTTGAATTGACACTTATTTCATCTTTCAGTGGGGCCCTGAAACTGAAAGGCAGCTGGGAGAATATATCGACACCAACTCAAAGTTAATGAGGATCCTGATTGAAATCACGCAAACAATCGGATCGTTCTTCCACTTAGTTTGTAGTATATGCAATCCTCGTAAGAAAAGCGGGGTTTTTTTCTTTTTGCAGGGAGGAACAGCATACTATTGGCAATATATAGCTACATGCATCATGATCAGGGCATGTAGGATCTTTTTAATTAAGACTAATACATTTGTTTACGGAGAGGGCAAAGTAACCGTGAAAACGAATACACGTAGTATACGTTGTTTAACATGTACACACACACATAAAAAATACAAAATCAATAGATGCATGGCTCTTTTACCCTCTGGGGGGCACTTTCTAGAACATATATTCTGTGACGCACCTTGTGATTAAACCTGCTGCCAGACTGCAGTTGATGCTGGATTCTTTGGAGTTCTCGTCCCAGCACTCAACGCTTACCGCAATGCGCAAATAATATCATACATATACCATGCAAAAAAAAAAAAAAATCATACATATACGGCTAGTGGCCGAGCCATCCAAAACCCATCCATAGATTAAGCAAGATAATTACATTCACATATGGCTGGTGCCTAATCGATCTAAAACCACCCATGGATTAAGCTATATGATTAATTCAAAGATAAACGCCATCAGCAAGACAGCAATGCAGAGTAATTTCATACCGGCTAGAGAGCTTAGCTGTAGAGGTATTACTTTTCCTTCCGTTGTATATATCACAGTCCATTTTATCTGGTCACCAGATGAATTAATTACCTCTCTCAATCCTTACATTGGATTATTCAGTTAAGATTTTGTGTGGAAAATCTGCCAACATTAGTTAATTAATTACTGTCAGGTGAATATATTCTCTCCCACCAAAGGTTAAAAATTTAAAACTCGTGCAATTGTAATCAGATTAAAAAAAGTCGTCTCCCCGATCTACATTACTTGTCACTTAAACGGATATATTTAACACCAAAAATTGATAGAGATGTTAGCGTGCGTACATGGAGAGTAGTAATCCGGCTGCAGACCAGGTGAACGGTGATCGACCGATCGTGTGCCCATTTTGTCCTAGAAGGCAAGAACTGACAATTTCAAATCTAGCTTGTAGTTTTTCCAGTGGAGCCCTTGAAAGTAAGCTGAAGGACCTAGCAAACTAAGCACCCAGTCAATTAATTAAGATGCACCGCAACGATTCCAAAAAACATCTTGATCGTATTGATAAATGCTCTTCACGATATTTTGGAAACAAGCCAGCAGGTACAAGTTGTGGACGATTCGAGCATCGAAACTTCACGATTTTGTTTTGCTTTTTGTTTTTCGAAGAGCAGATCAACATTCTCGGGGATATTTTCAGAAAATATCATGAGGATAATTAGTTAGATCATCTCTAGTTCTTATTGAACCATTCTCATTTGCAACCTAGTTTTTGTAGCAGTGCGATATACATAAACACATGGACTAAGGATCCGGCTGGCTAACCTTGTGACTGACAAATTAATTAGCGTGGGTAACAATCTTTGAATTGACAAATTGAAGTCTTGTAGTTTTTCCCGTGGAACCTGAAAGGGAGCTGAAAAACATATACATAGACCGAAAAGCTCACTGGAAAAGAAAAAGCATCTCCATCCCGTCTTAAAAGATGATTTTGCCAGAGCACCGACCAGTGTAGAAGCTGTGGACGGTTCAAATCGGACAACGCCATGAGGCTCATCGTGAGCCATCCAACACGAATTTCAGACGGGGTTAGTTGGACCATTTGATTCAGCACTTGTACAGATGCATTGCCATGGTCTATTTAGCAGACACACTTGTACAGATGGGTTTAGTTAACGGACGATCATCCGCAGCGAAAGCAGCAACATGTACCAATGTTTGCATCAATAGTTCAAAGTTAAAATGCGAGTGCGCTGGTCCCTTAGAGTTAGGTAAGCAGGAGATATGCCTTGCTCTATAAGAGCAACTCTAGCAGACCCCGCATCCCGTCCCGGTCCGTAAAATAACCGCTAAAATGTGGGTCGGGGCGGAAAAACCTGCCCGATCAGAACCCACATCCCGCTCCGGCCTGTAAATATTTTGCAGGGCGCGGAACAACTTCTCCCTCAACCTCTAGTTTCATGGGCTGGGAGGCCGACCCGAGCTCAGCCCCTATCCGCGGCGAGATTTGGAGGGAGGGACATTTCCGCGCGCCCTTTCCCGCTCCTCCACCGTCCGCCAACATTGCCCCGCCGCCGCATGCTCCGGTGCATCCTCCGCGGCCGCCCCTCG